GGGTGTCTTGGGGCCTCCTGGGGCCCTCCGGGAGGGCGTTCGGCCGACCGATGTGGCCCCGCTGCCCAGGCCCAGCAAGGGCTGCCAGGAGCTCTGAAACGCATGGGGAGCCTCCTGCAGGGGCGTCCAGGGGGTCCCCGGGGCCATGGGTCCTGGGGGGCCAGAGGATTCGGGGGGGGGGGCCGGTAATAGAAAGATGTAACTGGGAGTGTGTGTGTGTGTGTGTATATGTGTATATATAAAGATGTACGCACACAAGACCGAATTGGCGCTTCGCGCCATGCACCTTGGTCGCTGAAGTTTGGCATGCAGGCGGAATGGCAGGAGGGTCGAACTGAGAATTTAGCGATAATTCCTTGTTGCCTTTTCTGGCATCGCCTTTTTGATAATGTGATTCGCGATCCTTCCTCCATGTGTCTTTTTCCTCATTCTCGCCCAACCCTGCGAATTCTTCCCCATCCTCCTCAGCTAGTTCTGCGGAGGCTCCTCCTTAAAAAGCCTCTGGGGGCCTCACGGAAGACTTCCAGGCTTGAAGGCGACCCGAGCCCCCCCCCCACACCCACCACATCACATGTTATCTGTTCAAAGCTAGAGCTTGTGGCCCGGCGACCGTCGTCAGCTGCATGTGCCCCAAGAGAGGCCACTGGCAACTTGCGAAAGATGCAACCGCCGAGGGCCGGGAAAAACCACTACTATAAAGCCACAAACGTGCTGCCGCGCAGGAAATTGCCTGGGACATCGCTCAAATCGCGCCATCGCGCACGTGCAACGGCACAATTTTATAAACGCAGCGCAAAAACACGTTCATAAAACACGCAACAATTGCTTAAGAAAAACGAAGACGGTTGTATGAAACGATGTGTAAAGCCGGAAACGTCGCGATTCGCAATCGTCGCCGTGGGTGCGTGCCGACGAAGTCCGCAAGCGTTCCGGAAAAAATGTAAAATCAGCATGGTGGGTGTGGGGGTGGGTTGTTCTCTCTCGAAGGCTTTCGTAAGGCCTTCTGGAGGCCTCCTGGGCGTCTTCTGGAGGCCCCTGGGGGCTTCCTCGGGCCACCCTGCCTCCAACCGCGGTCTCCCTGAACGACCGGGTCACGATTTGGAATGCTTCGGAGGGTGTCTTGGGGCCATCCTGGGGCTCTCTTGGGGCTCTCCTGGGGCTCTCTTGGACTGCCTGAAAGCCCTTACGGATGGTCCTGGGGTGATTTTCGAGCCTCCCAGGCGGTCTCGGCACCCAGAAGACCAAAGAACAGGGCATTCCCAAAATCATGATTTACTTACCCGAGGACCCCAAAACGGACACGAGGGCCCCAAGAAGCACCAAAGAGGGTCCAAGGGGCCTCCAAGACGGTCCAAGAGCGCTCCAAGACTTCCCTAGAGGCCCCACGGAAGCCCCAAGAGCGCTCCAGGAGGACCTCCAAGAGGGCCCCAAAGTGCAAAGATCACTTACGCTTCTTGTGTTTTCAAATGTTTCTCACGTTCTCGCGTTTTCGGGCTCCCGACGCTCCAAGATGGCCCCAGAGGCCCCCCAGACCGCCGCAAGACGGCCCAAGAGGCCCTCAAGAGGGCCCCGAGATGGCCCAAGACCCAAAACGGCCCAAGAGGTTTCCAAAACAGCCGAAGAGCCTCAAGACTGCCCCAAGAGGGGCACAAGAGGGGGAACACGAACCGACAATTCGAGCCTTCCGCCCCAAGAGGGGCCCCAGGAGGCCCCACGAGGCCTCCAAGAGGCCCCAAGAGGCGCCCAAGAGGCCCCCAAGAGGCCCCACGAGGCCCCCAAGAGGCCCAAAAAGAACCCCCTAGAGGACCCCAGACGGCCCTCAGGAGGCCTCTGAACTGCCTCCAAGAGACCCCGGAGAGGCCTCACACGGTATCCCAACGGACATCCAAGAGGCCTCTCACCCAAAACCCAGGCACGGTGGCGGGATTGGCCGAAGGCCTCGTTTTTTTTGTTTCTCTCTCTCTCTCTCTCTCTTTCTCTTTCTCTCTCTCTCTCTCTCTCTCTTTCTCTTTCTCTTTCTCTTTCTCTCTCTCTCTCTCTCTCTCCCTCTGTATACATATATACACACATATACATAATTATATATATGTATATATAATTGTGTGTACCTCGAGCAGACAGGCTTGGCCGGCGAAGGGCAAGGTCGGCTGACGAACCCACGGGCCGGTGAAAAGATTCCCCAGAGGGTGAAATGATCAACCACAGGGTAACCACAGCCAGGAATGTGATCAGGAACATGATCAGTTAAGAAATCCAGGCCAGCTCCCTGGAAGTTCCTTTAAATAAGCCCGGGCCAATTTCTGCTGTTCACGCTCAAGAGGCGACCGTGCCCGAGAAACTGGGCCAGCTTTCTGGCAAGTAGGTTAAGAAACGCTGGCCCAGCTTTTCGGGAGGTGACATTGACGGTGACGGTGCCCGCAAGAGTGTCCACGCGAGGGGACTAAGCGGGGCGGGGCCGGAAGAGAATAATCTGAAGCGGCTGGCATGGACAACGCGGCTAGCAGGCTCGCTCATTCATGATGCACAAAACTATGCTCCAGCTCATTCCACTTTGGT